CAAGCGAGTCTCCTGCCTCAGCCTCCCAAGTAGCTGGGACTAAAGGCGCCCGCCACAACGCCTGGCCATTTTTTGGTTGCAGCCATCATTGTTGTTTGGCCAGCCCGGGCTGGGGATTCGAACCCGCCACCTTAGGTGTACGTGGCTGGCGCCTTAGCTGCTTGAGCCACAGGCGCCGAGCCTTGCCGAGATTTTTATGATCACTTGAGTAGTCAACTTACAAAGGTCTACAGTGTTTCCGTGTGTGTGCGTGTGCATATGTGTGCATAATACCGTCCACATAAGCATAACCTAAGCAAGAGATTGTTATAAAATGAGGATTATTTATGACATGTATTGTGGCCCATATCTGTAATCTTAATCACTTTAGGAGGCCAAGGCAGGTGGATCACCTGAGCTCAGGCGTTCGAGAACAGCCTGAGAAAGATCAAGACCCCTTCTCTACTAAAAATAGAAAAACTACTTAGGCACTGTGGCAGATGTCTCCAGTCCCACCTACTGGGGTGCTGAAAAGAGAGGATCACCTATATCCAAGAGTTTGACGTTGCTGTGATCTACAATGCCTCTGAACTCAACCCCAGGGTGATAGAATGAGAAACCGTCTCAGAAAAGTTTATAAGAGTGATTTTGTAACAAGAGTGCATTTAATCTATGCTCAGGAATACTATAACTCCCCAATACAGAGTATGTGTAAGAAATGTACGGAGTAGATACCTTTAACTATATTAAAGTTGAGAAATTGGGGCTCGGCGCCTGTAGCTCAAACGGCTAAGTCACCAGCCACATATACCTGAGCTGGCAGGTTTGAATGCAGCACAGGTCTGCCAAAGAACAGTGACAACTACAACCAAAAAGTAGCCAGGTGTTGTGGCAGGCACCTTTAGTCCTAGCTCCTTGGGAGGCTGAGACAAGAGAATAGTTTACACCCAGGTGTTGGAGGTTGCTGTGAGCTGTGATGCTACAGCACTCTACCCAGGGTGACAGCTTGAGGCTCTCTTTCAAAAAAATAAAATAAAATAAAGTGGAAATATTACAGCATACAGAAATTAAACTATTTATCACAGTTCATATGACGAAAATATTGAAGTTAAATTACATGAGCTTTGTTTTACATTTGGGGGAGTTGAGAAGTTGGGCTCAGCGCCTGTGCTCAGCAGCTAGGGCGCCTGCCACATACAGCAACCTGGTGGTTTCGAATCCAGCCCCGGCCTGCCAAACAACAAATTACAACTACAATCAAAAAATATCCCGGTGATGTGACAGGAACCTTTAGTCCCAGCTACTTGGGAGGCTGAGGCAAGAAAATCACTTAAGCCCAAGAGCTTGAGGTTGCTGTGAGCTATGGTGCCACCTCAATCTACCAAGGGCAACAGCTTGAGACTCTTTCTTTTTTTTTTTTTT